CAGAGTTGTAAATGAAATTTCAAAATGACAGTAATCAACACTAAAAACAATAAAAATAAGTAAAATCAAATTTCGAAGGAAACTCTATTTTCACAGTTTTGCACTGAATAACTAGAAGTTTTTAAACAAAACATTTGCAACCTAAATACTTTTAAAGGTATCCCTATTCTTGATTTTCTTTTATTGTAAAGACTGTGGCCATATGAATTACACTTTCAAGCTTCATTATGACTACAGACGGTTTATTCTGTAGGTAGGTACAGTAGGTAGTATGTCATAATAGGCCATAAAAGAGAGGACAAAATGCAACCACGAACAAAGTGGCATTTCCTGCTTTACATCCTGAACAACATCTCACTTTGTCAAAGCACTCTAATTTTAATGTTACTGTTAAGATTATCATTATTACTTTATTACTATTCCAACTAAACTGATTTCAATGTACATGGGAGTGTTTAGTGAATGTGCAGTTCTCAGATCTTTTAGCAATCTGGCCCCAGTCAAGAAGAAAGGGAGTCATTGGCCTGGCTAGGGCATCAACTTGTATATAGGGAAGAGGAGGGGTTGGATAAGGCAAGGAGGAACAGACAGTCAAGCGAAACTTCAGAGTGGATGACTCTGAATCTAGAGGTGAGTAGAACATGTGCAGGAGGGATAAAGGCTAGAAACTGAAATGATCATCAGAAAGAGAAAGACTGTAGGAGGGAGCCGGAACATGATTTCACAATTTAAACCCCACTTATATATACAAGATAGCTCTGGTGGCATAGTGCCTAAGGCATTTGACGGCTAACCAGAAGGCTGGCGGTTCAAACTCACCAGCCACTCTTCAGAAGGAAGGTTGGGCAATCTACTTCTGTAATGATACTGCCTCAGAAACCCAAGAAGTGGTCGCTATGTGTCAGATCTTACTGGATGGCAGTGAGGTTTTTTTTTTCTTAATATATATAAGTAGGCAATTTTTCGGTTTGTCCTCCCAGAAGAAGAAGATTGAAAAAAATTAAAAAAAGTTCAAGTGAAATAGATACAAGCTACCTGATATTTTTCTCAGAAGACATCTTTTTAATTCAGTTTATATTACTTGAAGCAGTAAAATGCATTTCTTCTATGAATTATTATCTTTCTAATGAAAAACGGGTAGAAATGTTTAAGATTATAAAATTTTCTATTGTCTCAGACTGAAATATAAATGTGAAAGGTGAGAACAGAAGGGTATATAAATGTGAAAGGTGAGAACAGAAGGGTAAATGTTATGACAGTGAGATGCTTTCCTTGAACATAATCAACTCATTACTTAATAAAGTTGAATAAACAAGGATCTGAAAAGGATAGCAGGCAAGAATCTTTTGTAAGTGCCTAGAGGGAAAAAATTGCAAAGCCTTGCTGAATGAATGTTCTAGAAAAAAGGACACTCTAAAGTTCAAATTCATTCAATCTAATTCTCTGCTCACTCTTATAGTAAGGCAAACAATCAATATTAACCATTTTTATTAGTGATGACTCTCATGTTTTAAATACTAAAATTCCTAGTGCAAAACACTTCCAAGTACGATGATATTTATTTTGTAAAGTATACGTAGAAGTTATGTAGATGAAGTTATAAGAGGCTTAATAAATTATATAAACTTGTATCAGTCTTGCATTAAGTTGTAAATTTACATTCTTGACCACTAAAATTAAGAACTTTGCAGTGTTATGTAATAGCACATTAGTAATGTTTAGTCTAGGCAGTGCAAGGTAAACTTTAAAGTAGAATTCTGTTTCCTACATGAAAGACAAGTAGCATGAATAATAATAATAATAAAAAGATGGAAGACATTCTGAGTTTTTTTGAGAGCCAAAGTTCTTGCCTCCACAATTCTTAGCTGGTTTATTTTTATCTTTATGAAATTGTTTTTCCTGACCTACAGGTCTGGCTCCTCCTTCACACATATATATATCAGTTTAGAATAATCAAGAAATTTTCAGTAAAAAAGAAAAACAGACTTACTGCATCAATTGAGGTAGGAGGACTCCCCGAGAATATTGCCATGAGATACCCTTTAACTTTGAATCAAAAATATCCCTTGAAATCACCTTTTAGCCAAGCATCAGGTTAGCTCCTAAAGTAAAGAACATCAGCCTTGAATACTGTGTTTCTATAAAAAATAATATATATGAGACCAAATGCCAGCAATTACTCTAAAGCTTAGATGAGACAGTTGGAGTGGGACTAGTGAGCATAGTGAGACCAACTTACTGGGAACAGAAATGAGAATGTTTACTCAATGTGAAGAAGGTAACAAATGTTTATGAATAATATGTGGAGAAATTGTTTAACAGGAACCTGTTCATTGTGCATATGTTCACCAAAATATAATGAAATATTAAAAAAAAACAATTAGGAAATTTAAAAAAAATCTAGTTTTGACTTTATCAGGAAATATTTGCAAAGGATATAAAATTCATTAGATTAGACTGTTTTCCTTAAAGTGTCTATAATATAACTGAGAAAACACATGAATGAAACAGACACTTCTAAACTCCCTGTTCTAGAACAATGATCATTAATGCACTGGACTTAATGGGAGGGTTAATCAGTGTTCCTGAGAAGTTTTGGCTTAAGCAGTGAAGGATTACATAGTCAGAGGAACAAAACAGAAGAGATGGGGGCAAAAAATAGATTCTGATTTAATGAATATTCCAGCATATTTGGAACAAATCTATTTAGCTAAGAATACATGGAACATCTTTCTTAGTAAACTCTGTTCAGTTTAAAGATAGAAGTATTCCTAATTCACCCAACCTCTTGCCCTTTGCAGTGCAGTGAATTGAGTTTAGATGGTCTTTCTAACCATTGTTTTGTAATGCCCACAAAATAATTAGCTGGCATTATGCAAATAAGGTATGTAAAACTCTTACAGGACTATGCAAATGAGGCGATTATGGCCTACTAAAGGGATTGGTCAGTTTTGTTATCCTGCAAAGCTTGAAAGAGCCATTTATAGAGGTTGTTGAGGGTTGGGGGAGATCACTGCCATCAAGAAGAGCCTGGAGCAGAGCTCAGTTCATCCTTTGGACCAAGAACCGGGGTGCCTGCACTGAGAACTTCAAAGACCCAGAAGAAAGCATGAATGCTGAAGATGGTGAGAAACAGTAGTAGTGAGCCTGCTTGGCCTATGAAGTGAGAATAAAGAGCAGGAGGCTTTCTGGAGGTGCTAAAAGAGCTGTAACATTTGCCCATGCAAGGCTGAGGCCTCACTGTGCCCCATGTAGGTGTTGTCTTGGAGTATCCTTTGTAAGAGTCTTCCCACAGTAGGGCAGAGCTATATGCCTCTGGGCAGGAGGCTTGCCAGAAGAACTAAAAGAGCTGTAACACTTGTTTGTGCAGGGCAAGAGTGGACGTGAGTGTGCCAGTGCAGAGGTTGCATGCCTCCCCCCAGGAAGCAGAAGCCTCAGGACACATGCAGGCCCCCTAAGCAGTGTGATGGTAGCCAGATGTAGTAATGACAAGAACACAGCAACTGATCTAAGCCACAACCTCTGACCTGAACTACACACACACCCTTCAGCAACTTTTATTTCATATATTGCTGATCTAGTTTGTTTGGAGCTCTGGTGGTGTACTGCCTAAGGCATTTGACTGCTAACCAGAAGGCTGTTGGTTCAAAACCACCAACCACTCTTCAGAAGGAAGATTGGGCAATCTACTTCCATAGTGATAACACCTCGGAAACCCAAGGAGGGGTCGCTATGAGTCAGATCTGATTTGACAGCAGTGAGCTTATTTATTTTTTTTTGTTTTGTTTTTGGTTAGTCAATAAAGAAAGAAAATAAAATGATTGCATATGGTTTAGATGTGTCAATACAGGATAGGGACTTACATTTTTAGTAGTTTACAAGCTTTATTCTTGACTCTGCCACTACTTGCCACGTGACCTTATATTACATCTCTGATCCTCAGTTTCTGCATCAATAAAATGAAAATATTGAACTATTCCTAAGGTTCTTCTATGCTCTACAATATTTGGGTTCTAAAAAAAATAAATAATGTTTTTATTATATTATGTACCTTTTCAAATATTAGATAATCTAGCAAGTTTTTTTAATTCTTTTATGAGATGTTGAAAAATAGCTTTTAATATAATACTTACATTTTGGCCCACTTATCTAGTTCTTCTTCCAGATATGTTTTAATCATTTTTGGTTGAAGGCCAAGAGAATTTCCCAAGAGATAGATGGCATTTTCATCCTTATTCACTAAAGATAAATCAACTGAAAGAGAAGAAAATTTAAAAATTGCTTATTCAATTAATTAACATTCTTCCATTTGGCATTGTTAATTCAGTGCAAACAATTAATATAATTAACTCCAAGAAGGATAATAAATAACTTACAATTCCTCCCAAGGATAACATTAAGTTCTCTGAAAAATAATTAACCTTTTACATTTATACTTTGAAATATAATTTAAACATGGAGAAGCTATTGTTGAGATCTCTCACATTTATTGTACTCTCTGAGAAAATATAAATTAGCAACCACTTCCATTAATAAATAGCCAAAGGCAATAAAAAAGGGTTAAAAAGTTTTTATAATAAAGCTCATCAGCCTAATTTTATTAAACGTACAATTAAGCAAATACTAGTCCTCAACATTCCACCACTCATCTGTCAGTTTGTCATACTGTGGTGGCTTTTGTGTTGCTCTGAGGCTGGAGGCTATGCTACTGGTATTTCAAATACCAGCAGGGTCGCCAATGGTGGACAGGTTTCAGTGGAGCTTCCAGACTAAGATAGGCTTTCAAAGAAGTGGCCATTCACTACTCAAAGAATTGGCCAGTGAAAACTGTATGAATAGTGGTGAAACACTATCTAATATATTGCTGGGAAACTTTATGAATATCTATGAAACAATGTGTGATATAATGCCAGAAGATGAGCCCCTCAGGTCAGAAGGCACACAAAATGTGACTGGGAAAGAGCTGTCTCCTCAGAATAGGGCCAGCGTTAATGATGAAGGGGGGCATTTCTCAAGCTGAAAAAACTGAAGAAAAAATTCAAGCCTCAAGTTGCAATATTGAAAATTCTATGGTCAAAATATTAAATGATGCAGGAAACATCAAAAGAAGATGGAAGGAATACACAGACTCACTGTACCAAAAAGAATTTGTCAATGTTCATCCATTTCTGGACATGGCATATGATCAAGAGCCAGCGGTTCTGAAGGAAGAAGTTGAAGCTGCACTGAAGGAATTGGCAAAAAAAACAGGCTCCAGGAATTGATGGAATACCCATTGAGGTGTTTCAACAAACAGATGCTGCTCTGGAGGCACTAACTTGGCTATGTCACAAGATTTGGAAGACTGCTACCTGGCCAACTGACTCCAAGAGATCCATATTTGTACCCATTCTAACGTGATTCTACAGAATGTGGAAATTATCAAACAATATCATTAATATCACATGCAAGTAAAATCTTGTGAACAAAATTCAAAAATGATTGCAGCAGTATATTGACAGAGAGCTTCCAGAAATGTCAGCTGGATTCAGAAGAGGACATGGAACAAGAGATATCATTGCTGATGTCAGATGGATCTTGAGTGAAAGCAAAGAATACCAGAAAAATGTTTACTTGTGTTTTATTGACTACGCAGAAGCATTCGATTGTGTGGATCATAACAAATTGTGGATAACATTGAGAAGAATGGAAATTCCAGAACACTTGATTGTGCTCATCAGGAACCTGTGCATAGACAAGAATGCTTTCATTTGAAGAGAAAAAGGGGATACTGCATAGTTTAAAATCAGGAAGGGACTATGTGAGTGTTGTATCCTTTTGCCATACTTACTCAATCTATATGCTGAACAAATAATCTGGAAAGCTGGACTATATGAAGAATGTGGCATCAGGTTTGGAGGAAGACTCATTAACAAACTGCAATATACAGAAAACACAACTTTGCTTGCTGAATAACTTGAAGTACTTACTGATGAAAATTGAAGAATACAGTCTTCAATATGCAGAATACAGTCTGCAGTATGTATTACATCTCAACATAAAGAAAATGAAAATCCTCACAACTGGATCCATAAGCAGCATCACAATAAATAGAGAAAAGATTGAAGTTGTTAAAGATTTCATACTACTTGGTTCCACAATCAATACCAACGGAAGCAGCAGTCAAGATATCAGATGACACATTGCACTGGGCAAATCTGCTGCAAAAGATGTCTTTCAAATGCTGAAGAGCAAAAATATCTCCTTGAAGACTAAGGTGTGGCTAACGCAAGCCATAGTTGGTGCTTTTGAGTTGTGGTGTTGGCAAAGAATACTGAAAGTACCACGCACCACCAAAAGAACTAAAAATCTGTCTTGGAAGATGTGTAGATGGAATGCTCCTTGGAAGTGAGAATGGCCAGACTTTGTCTGACTGACCCTGGTCATGTTGTCAGAAGGGACCGTTCCTTGGAGAAGGATATCATGCTTGGTAAACTGAAGGGTTAATGAAAAAGGGGAAGGCCCTAAACAGATGGACTGACACAGTGGCTTCAACGATGGGCTCAGGTTAGCAAGGATCATGAGGTTGGCACAGCACCAGGCAGTGTTTCATTTTGTTGTACATAGGATCACTACGAGTCAGAATTCACTCCACAGCACCTAACAATAACAGCAATCCTCAGCATTAATCAGTGTTATAGATAGGGCATATTGAAAAATCTAAAAATATTTACATATCTGAAGTAGATATGTTAGAACTACACATTTATTCGGACAGTTGAAACCCACCAGCCACTCTGCAGAAAGAATGTGGGGCAAACTACTTCCGTAAAGATTTACCACCTCGTAAACCCAGTAGCAGGCCGGAAGAGCAGGAGAAAGGGGTAAAACCCAGTCACTAGTGCTCAGACGGCTCCCTTGTTACCCTCCCGAGAGGGACCGGGTCTCTGGGAGCAAGGTAAGCACAGGCGGGCTGGTGCTTACTCACTGATCTGCACTGAACACTTTCCCTTGTTACCCTCCAGAGGG